GTGGGAACCAATTTTCTGTACTCACTTCCTCAAGGGGTCTAGAAGATTGGTTGTAGAGTAGGCGATATGTTATTATTTCTTAAAGAGTTTCTAAAATCATAGCTGTCTAGATCTCTCCCAAAATTTCTGGTTTAATTGGGGGGTGGGACCGATAACTAAGCATAAAAATTCCTTAAAGCTATCCAAGTGATTCTAAGGTACAGCCAGAGTTGGGTACCCCTACACTAGTAAATCAGAAACTATTTATTAAGCATAGAAGCAATATGCAAATTCAGACTTTGGGGGGTGGGATACCAGGGACTGAACCCGAAGGGCACTTTACCACTGAACTATATCCCCAGCACTTTCTACTTTTTATTTTAAAACACAGTCTTGTTAAGTTACTGAAGGCCTTGCTGGTTGCTAAGGCTGTCCTCAAACTTGTGATCCTCTTGCCTCAGACTTCCGAGTCACTAGGATTGCAGGTGTCCACCACTGTGCCTTGCTAAGACATTCCTTCGATGGCAGGTAAAGAAAGCCTTCAGACAACCCAAACTCAAGTCAAAACCCAATAGGTTACACATTCTAACATTCAGGAATGACTTGGGTAAACAGTCCTAAGTTTTTTATAATTACTGAATGTTATTTAATTTTGCAAAGGAGATTAGCAAGGAAGAAACAAGCTAGATAGTACTGACTGTCAACTTGCACTTGCTACTTTTGTATATATTATTTAATTTCAAACCCAAAATACCATGGAGGTAGTTACTATTCCATTATTTAAAAATTTTTTCTAGGATTTGGATAGTTTGTCACAGTGAAGCCCTTTACACTCTGATGCAAAAGCATTCTCTTTGAGACAGCTTGTTTCAGAAAATTTCCACACTTTTCTAGTGTGAAAGCAAAACAAGAAAAAGAAAAAGCAGGGTTCAGTGGTGGAGCACAAGATAAAGCAAGGGAGTACTTGAACCAGTCCCCATTCCTATAATTCCTATGCATCTGTTTGCAAACTCTGGGAAAAATAAATTAGGTTTATAGTTCAAATCTACACCAGTCTCTATACTAGATCATTGAGGAGTTGCTTTTTTTTTTTTTAATCCTAAGAAAGTAAACAATTCATCTATTGCTTCACAAGCTATTTTTAAAGTTCTCACATTTGGAAACAGGGTACATACAACAGGATGCTTATTCACAAAATAGGAATAGAAGAAGGATGTTAAGCATGTTTTCTTTTTTTCCCCAGACTCAAAAGATTGTTAGAACTTCTCCCAAAACAGTTTACAGACCACAGTTTTTAATTTTATTTTATTTATTCATTTTTTTGTTGGGTGGGGGTGGGTACCAAGGATTGAACTCGGGGGTACTTCATCACTGACCCACATCCCCATCCCTATATTTTGTGTTTTATTTAGAGACAGGGTCTCACTGAGTTGCACCTCGCTTTTACTGAGGCTAGCTTTGAACTCACGATCCTCCTGTCTCAGCCTCCCAATCTCTGCCTCCAGACGCACTGAGATTACAGGCATGGGCCACAGCGCCCGGCCAGACCACAGTTTTGATAAACATATTTAAAATGAGTATGGAAAGTATAACTTTAATTTAGGCCACTGAAAGTCATATATTAATTTACTTATTAAAAGCTATCTTTTTTTAAAAAAACCAGTTCCTGAATTGTTTGACCCATCTCAATATTCAAATTACAAGGAAAAGGTTTTCAGGAAAAAAAAAAAAGTGTGGAGGAAGTACAGAACAGATCCCCACCACTCCCATCAACACTGATCTTTCTTTCCTGAGACCCAATATCTTTTCTCCTCTCAGGCTCCTATCTTTGAAAGTGACATTAACTCAATGAGTCAAACTGGGTTACATCAGAGACCTGATAGAAGAATACTTTCAACCAGCTATTCTAATTAACGGCACAGATTTTTCCCAATACATATTTCAAACCACATATGATGGTACATGCCTATTATCCCAGGTACTTGGGAGACTAAGGCAGGAGGAATGAAAGTTGGAGGCCAGCTCAGGGCATTAAGGGAGAACCTATCTTAAAACATAAAAAGAGCTGGGGGTATAGCTCAGTGGTAGATTGCTTGCTAGCATGCACAAGAGGTCCTAGGTTTAATCCCCCCTGCATTGAGGGGAATACATATTCAAAAATAAAGGTATGATGACAAGGAATTAACTTCTAAATGCACTGGCTTGGATTATGGTTGTGTTTCTTTTCAACTTCAAAATTATTTGACTACACTATAAAAACATTTTGTGGTTTATTTAAAAATTATATTTGTAGTTTATTTAAAATTTATCACAGGAGAAAGACATTCCAGTTTCTTCAGGACATTTGGGGCTGGATAAACTGGGAAAACATATACCCAACTGATATGGAAGAAGCTACAAAGCTTCCTCATGCAATCCTTAACCTATTAACAGTGGGGTAGAGCAAATTTTTCTTAATAGTAAAGAATACATCAGTTCCATTCCTTTAAAGATGAACACCTAGCATACAAAAGAACAGATATTCAATTCTTTCACATTCAAGTCCTACATTTAAAAAGCTGCCCTCCAGAGAGGGAAAGGGGGGGGGGGCATGTGTGCTAAGTTTTACAACTTTTTATCCCTACCACAGTATTAAAATCGCCTTTTAAATTTATGCTAGTTTGTTGGCATAGAGGTGTGTGCCTGTAAATCCAGCAACTCAGGAGGCTGAGGCAGGAGGTTGCAAAGCTAGCCTCAGCAATTTAGTGAGGCTCTAAGCAACTTAGCAAGACCTATCTCAAAATAAAAAATAAAAAAGGACTGGTAATATATCCCAGTGGTTAAACACTCCCTGGGTTTAATCCCCCATACCCAAAGAAGGTGTATGGATGCATATGACACTGGTTTTAATGGGGTGTGTGTGTGTGTGTTACTTGTAACATAAAAGGCCATTTATATTTCTGGATGCTGGGGATCATCATTAAAAAAAATGTACACTTTACACACTAGTAAATCTTTTGGTAAGATAAATGTAAATTTAAAGAAAACCTACAAATGGAAAAGGAAGTCATAATTCTCTAATTGCACAAGTGAAAGACACTATAATATTAGTCTCTATTCTTAATAATTAACCCTCAATATTTTTTTTAATTCTAGCTTCCATCCTACCCTTTCCCCACATACACTCCCACAAAGTCTCCAGAACATCAAAGTTAGAACACAGTGTTATGAAAAAAATTACAATAAACCTAGAATTTAGATGATAAAATAGTTAATGTGCTTCTGTATGAATTACTGAATCAATATATGCATGAACCTAGTAAAAAGTGCTTCTAGTTATATTTTACAAAGAAATAATTTGTAGATTAGAAGCCAATGAGCATGAAACAAGTTTTCACCTTGACCCTACCAACCCAGTCAATAAAACTCTGGGAAAATATCAACGCCTGTTTCCATAATAAGAAAACTTAATTTTTCTCCCACACTTTAGTAAAATCTATAAATATAAATTTTTAAACCATGCTAATTAGTTACCAGAGTCCTTCAACCCACAGATCAGGTGTCCTACATTTTGTTTAGGTCCCGCCTTGAAAACAAACCCGATTGCCCCATTTTCTGAGAGGTAAACTCAGCTCCAGGCGCTCCAGGCAGCTCCCTATGAAGTCACCGCGTTTGTTGTTTCAAAGATGCAATTAAACGAAAATGACACAAGTCTGTAGAAGAGATTAGCTGGAAGTGTGTGGAGGTGTAGATCCTATATGTGCAAAGCTAATGAAAACTGTGTTACTGTAAATCTTGGGGGCTATGTTTTTACCCATCCTCTCTTCTCCAATATATTCACAACAAAAAGAAATTCGTAAGACTTTTCTTGACTTGGGTTTAACTTTAGTTTTTCAGCTTCTGCACAGTACCATGTAACAAGCAAAGACGCGAAGGGGAGTGCGGGGGAGAAAAGAGTTTTAACTTGAGCAAGAAGAAAAGCAATAAAAGCTTGCATCAGAGAGTGTCTCCCTCTGCCCCCTTCCTCTTTCCCCACCCCCTCTTCTTCGAGCCCTTACACACACACATTCTTCTGGGCGGCCTCTAACCACACCATCTCCACAATCATTTACAGAAATTAGAAACAGACTTCGGGAGCCTTCTCTTAGCACGCACTGAGTAGAGCTGTCTGTACAGGATGAAGGGGCAATGTCACTCCCTATTACCCCACAATCTCTAGCCACCCCCCCCCCGACTTTGGGGTTTCATTCCCAAGAATCCGGCTTTCTTCCGCAGAGATGGCTCTGCCTAAATGCAATTTCTTCTCGTCTTTTCCCACCCCGGTCACCCTATCCTCACTCTAACATACAAACACACCCTACCAGCAAAACTAAAGAAAAGTTTCTTTCACCAGGGCAACCGAGGGGTTTAGGGGCTGGAGCAAAAGCAGAGAGAAGGAAGACGACGAGCGAGGGGTACTTTGGTTCTTGAGCATCCAGTCCAGCGCCCTGGGCCGCCCTAGTCCTTACCCGCTCGTCTGGAGACCCGTTCCTGCTACTGGAGCGCGGAGCAAGGGTTGCGGGAACGCGACGTCCCGGCTGGCGGCTGGCGGCCGGCAGCTGCGGCGGGTGCGGAGAGCCACCACCTCTTCTCCCCCAAGCTGCTGCGGGCGTGGGCTGAAGGAGCTGAAGTAGAAGCCTGGGAGAGGAAGAAGAGAAGCAGCATCTCCTCCTCCTCCTCAACGCCTCGGAAACGCCCCTCCGGCGGCGACCCCCGCCGGCTGCCTGACCCCAGAGCGATAGAGCACTCGCCGCCCTCCGGTGCTCTGCGCCCCTTCAAGAAACTTCGCCGAACCCTCTAGCGAGAGCGACTCAACTCCGGCAGCAGGCTCTGAGCGCTGCCGAGGCGGCTGAGGCGGACCGGGGCGCCGGGGAGTGCTGCTCCGCCGCACGAAGGTCTTCAGGGGCCGTGACCATAGTGTGTCACCCTCGCCGCGGCGCGGCCGCCTGAGCTACTGGCACAACCGGAGCTCCACCTTGGCGGCCGCGCCGACCCCGCCCCTCAGTCCTGTCAATCAACTTTTCCCGGGCTCCAGAAGGACCGCGGATCTCCGACCCTGAGCTCCACTCGACTTCATTGGCTCGTCTGGCTCTAGCCCCGCCCCCTCCCCAGGGACGAGGTCGGCTGGGAGACCGGCGCCCGAGTTCCCATGACAACCGGTGCCTTGGGCCTGGCTTTTAGTGTTCCTCTGAGTAGCCTGACGCTGAGGTTGATGGCCGAACCGCAAAGTTCCGAGAGCCTGCTTTCTGGACTTTTAGGCTGAGTTGAAAATGCATCCAAGGACCGCCACAATTCCAACTTCAGAAAAAACTGTGTGGCCTGGGGAGTGCGTGCCCCGGAGAGGAAGAAGCGCTAACTGCTGGCTCTTCTCGGATCCACCTCAGTTACCCCTCCCCCCGCTTGCGCTCCCCTGCCTCAGCCTTGTTTCCATAATCTCTCCTGGAGATTTGGGCTTTGAAAGGGTGAGGGGAAGGTGGAAGAGAAAGACCAGTTCCCTGCGCCAGTTCCCTGGAGCCATAAAGCAAGTTTGAAATGGCGGGGTTAAGGAAAACAGCCCCGTGGTTTAAAGTTGTAAAGTCATCTTCAAAGGTGTGGTGGCTACACAATTCAGAATGCCCTCGGGAAAACTCAAAAAATACTCAAAAATTTCAAAAGTATGTAAACGCTGGTCTTGGTATTTTCTCTTATACAAATAAGAATAGTCCTAAAGTTTAAAAATGTAAATTAAAGAGGTTTAACGTAAGGTAAAAATAATCTTCATTTTTCTCTACATCCTACAAGTTGGCGAAAGTCAATCGTGTCGTCATTCCTCTCAGAAACTAAAAGATTTTTAAGTTTTAATAATTTACAAGTAAGTCTTGAAGAATTTATGAGCAAACAGTATTTAGTTGTTTGGGTTTTGAGTTTTAGTTTATCCTAGAGGTACAAGGTAACCTGTTCCACTCAAGAGAAGGAAATCCTCTGCCCTTGTCCCCGAGTTAATTTAGTCTAAAACCCCTCGCGCTGATCCCTCGGTAAAGCTTTATTTCATGCCTGGCTCCAAAATGGTGAGATCTGAGGCTTATCTGGCTTCCCCTGGAAACTGCAATCCTAGGTTCCCCAGCCCCTGAGGCTGCTGTACATGTATGATGAATGAGGGAATTAATAGTAATGATTTACCTTTGGCTAGCACTTGAGTTTTCATTATCTCATTTACTAAATGAATAACTGTGATGGATGTCTTCAGTCAGATGTGCCTTGCTAGTATGCATTGAATGTGATTACTCACAGTGCTAAACAATGGAAAATACACAACAGAATTTTAAGATAAGGGCCCTGCCCTCAAGGAGCTAACCATGGAGCTAAGCAAGCAAGCTAGCACTCTTGAAGCAATTTGAAAACAGTTATAGCTAAAACATTCAGGCACTTTGGAGTAACAAAGCAGGTAAAAGAAAGTTGGGAATTTAATTTGGGCTTTGAAGGGTAAGTAGTGGAATGAATGAAGCAAAGATGAGGAAAGGAATTGAGGGAAACATCAAACTAACAGCAGGAGGAATGAGAGGGGAAATAAATAGCAGTGAGAAGACCAGTGTAGTTGGAGTGAAAACAGAGGTGAATGGCTTGGGGGGCTGGGTAGGTGGGGGGGGATGTCCTAGCCCTTCCTCCAGTTTTAAATATCCTGGTACCTGTATCAGGGAGGTAAAATAGAGAGAGGCAGATTTTGGAAGAACAAAAACTTTCATAGAACATCTGCTTCTGTTTGCCAATGAAAGAAAGTTTATATATTTATTGGAAAGAAAAACAGTATGCATAATACCTGCTAAAGCTTGTGTAGTCATGTCAAAAAGAAGGTGTAGAGAGAA